TTTGTGGTCACTCCCTTTGCTTTTTGTACCTTCCATATTTATTCCATACTTCCTAGCCTGTCATACAGTTTATGGGATATGAGGCAATAGTCTATTGTTGAGTGTGAGTTGTCTCGTTCCTACATTATTTTCCCATCGCATTTTACTTGTTCATTAACTAACACTAGGTCCAGGGTATCACGGAAATCTTCTAGCAACTTTCCAGTTGTATCTGTGAATCCATCAAACTCTTCTAAGTGGTCATTCCTGTCTCCTATTTTAATTATTTCCTGATTAAGGCCAATTTTTTTGATGTTCCTCATTATACATATAAAAAGTTCTGTATTTTCCTCCCTTGAGTCATTTTCTGTTTTCAGGTAAGCAAACCCCCAAAAGAGTGTTTAGACCTGTTGCCCTACCTTTCAGCCATAAATGTTCTCTTCAGCTTTCTTCTTTCTTTCCCAGTCTTGTCCTTTAACTACTTGTGATGCTTTTCAGCATTTGTTAGGGATGGGCAAATATTCGGTTATTACGAATAGCCAATCGAATCCTGTTATATTCGGCATTCGCTTTGAATCGAATTTAAGTATTCGACAATATCGAATTATTCGACAATATTGAATTATTCGACAATATCAAATTGTTTGACAATATAGAATTATTCAACCTTTCTAAATACGTCAAACCCGACTATATCGAACCCGTTTACATCGAATTATTCGTTATGTCGAACAATGTTTGTGCACAGTAATGTTACAGTGATAATATATATCAAAAACTATGGTTACATCAAACAAAAATAGCAGCCGCTAGATATATCGAACTGCCAAGAGCGCCGTTTTGCTCTGCAATCTGGCTTTCCCCCAACGCGTACGGCCGTATTGGGGGAAAGCCAACTTGCAAAGCACGCTAGCTTTTTCTTTTCTTTTTCTTTCGGTTTTTTTTCTATCTTTTGTGGAGGGAGCGGAGAGAGGGTGCTCCGTGCTCCCTCTTCCCACTTCGTCCGCAGAAGAGAGTTATTTTTTCTTTCAAGCAATTGACGCGGCTGCCCGGAAAAAAGAAAAAAAAGAAAAGCCAGCTTCCCACTTCTCTTAGGGGGAAAGCCAACTTACAGAGCAAAACGGCGCTCTGCAGGAGAACGTGCTCCTGCTCGGACGTACTCCTTGCTCTCGGAGCTAATGCGCGAACATAGAAGGCAGCGGCCTCAGCATTTTGGAGTCCATCGATAGCGTAGAAAAATACCGTTACCGCGGATGCAATGAAGAAAAAGCAGCAGAAGCTGCAAGACTACTTCATTGTGCAGTATTTCGGCAGAAAGTGGATTTTTGAGAGTCAAATTCACTAAAACCTTTATATCGAATTACCCACTATATCGAACTGGTAGACTTTTTTCGCGAGTTCGATATAAACGGGTTTGACCTACTCTGGCTTGGATTTCCGGCCAGGTGGCACAAGCTTCCGACCATTTCGTGCTCCTGAATTTAATACAGTTGAAATTAACAGCTACAGTACTTCTAATTCCAAATAAGGGCAAATATAAAACTATAGATTAAACATATCTTGTGGTATTTGTTGCTTGAACTATTCAAACTATTTGATTCAAAATTATTCGGCCAAAATCACGATTCGCTTCAAATTCGATTCTAACCCAAAATCCTCTATTTGCCCATGTCTAGCGTTTGTTATACAGCATGTAAATGAATGCTTTCAAGGCATTTTAGACGGCTCGCAAAAATCGGTTTCTCAGCGCATCGTGCTGCAATTTACTACAGAGGTGCAAGCAGGTGGTGGAAGTGTACTGTGAAAAAAAATCAAAGAAAGAACTTGCTTTGTTCAAAATAAAAAAAGCGAGAACCTGTTCTGGGCAATCTACGCCGCCACTTTGCAGACGATGCACGCATAGAGAGAAGTGCTGCTGACATATGGCGTACACTGCGTCGGGGGTGCGCCTGCCGATTCAAGTTCTTTTGCTAGATCGTCTGCTATCAAACCGAATCAACCGACGCTGCCTCGACGTGGCGTACGCCATCTGTCGGCACCACTTCCTTCTACACGTGCATCTTCAGCAAAGTGGCAGTCGAGGTTGCCCAGAAGATTTTTTTTTTTAGTTTGTTTTTTAAACAATTAAAGTAATTTTTTTTTTTATCCTAAACTTTTACTATTTGCTTCTACCTCCATAGTAAATTGTAGCACGATACGTTGAGAAACTGGTTTTTGCCAACGAGTTCGAGTAAGCTTAGAGCGGTAAACCAGTGGCCAAAAATGGCACCCCACCCCCCGGCTACCACTATCTTGCCCGTTTGCCACATTAGTGATCACTTGACGTTAAGATGGCTGCACCCAGAGGTGTGCCAAATACGATTGGCCAGATCATGGTCAGCAGGGCCGTGTTCCAAAATTTAATCAATCTCACTTTAGGGTAAAGGTTCTGTACCTTGGCGTTCGAAAACCTCCCACTTCCAGTTGCTCTCTCTGTCTTGTCACGTGACATGATCTGCCAGAGTAACTCTGATCCTATCGAGTAAGATTGGAATACAGCTCATCTTGGGACACAGCGCGAACAACATACGTGGACGAAGAAACACACAGGACGAGCGCTGACTATCAACTGAAATATTTTAATAAGAATACACATGAATACGACCATTCATATTTTGCAGTTCACCCCCCCCCCCCCTGCGTATTACGAGACACTTTCATAGCGGCGTGATGGCACGTGTTGCCATCCCAAATTCAAAAACGCCACCTCACTGTCCGGGTTTACTACGGTTGATAGAATGCCATTTCGTCGAAGCACGTTTTAGAGAACGGGCACGTTTTATCGAAGCACGGTTTTGAGAGAGCAGAGCCTCAGTTTAGAGAAATGCCGTTTATCGAAAAGGGGACGCTATTGGAAAAAGGGTTTTCTACTTTGCGCGTGTATCACTGGTGCGCGTGTTAACCCAAGCCCCCCGCTGCGCTCCCGCCGCTTCGCGGCGGCAGTCTGCGGCGGCTCATTACAAAAATGTTAACTCACCAGACTTATCCGCACACGCCGCTTCGCGGCGACCGAATTCGCTAAAAGGAGGCTCATCGCCATTTTCTCTAAACTTGGTTTCTCTATAAAGGCATTCGATAAACTGGGGTCGGTAAAACGACGTTGCACGTGTTGCCATCCCAAATTCAAAAACGCCACCTCACTGTCCAGCAGTGCCAAAGATGGTTGGCTGACACACAAGGTTCCCGCCCTTTTTATTTGGTACGCTTCTACTATTTCTCTAGACACTTGATCCCTGTGTCTGAACAAAACTTCAGTGTCACTGAATCTCGGCTCACAGTTACAATCCCGACAGTGCATTGCAAGATGAGAGTATGCGCACCCCTTCAACAAACTCTGGTGCTCTCTTAAATGTGTGTTCAAACAGCACCCCGTTTGGCCAAAATACACCCACCCACATGAAAAAGGTATCCTATACACTGCTCCAACGGTGCATGAAACGAACTGTGTGCCATGCTTTACAGTGCAACCATGACTACTTGGATTTTTCCGCTTACTAAGACGCCTTTCTATGGCAGGGCAAATCTGGCTTAGCTTGTTTTTGGCCGAAAAAACGACACTCACACCGTATCTTGCTGCGATCCCCTTTAACCCGTGCGAAACGCGGTGAATGTAAGGAATGGACGCCACCTTCTCTTTGTTATTCCCTTCCCGCTCAGCACAATTGTTTGCTGCATTGGCCCTGAAACTCTTCTTTACTTTTTTGCAGGCTGCGAAACGGTGTGAGTGTGAGATACAGTGTGGGTGTCATTTTTTCGGCCAAAAACAAGCTGAGCCAGATTTGCCCCGCCATAGAAAGGCGTCTTAGTAAGCGGAAAAATCCGAGTAGTCATGGTTGCACTGTAAAGCATGGCACACAGTTCGTTTCATGCACCGTTGGAGCAGTGTATAGGATACCTTTTTCATGTGGGCAGGTGTATATTGGCCAAACGGGGCGCTGTTTGAACACACGTTTAAGAGAGCACCAGAGTTCGTTGAAGGGGTGCGCATACTCTCATCTTGCAATGCACTGTCGGGGTTGTAACTGTGAGCCGAGATTCAGTGACACTGAAGTTTTGTTCAGACACAGGGATCAAGTGTCTAGAGAAAAAGTAGAAGCGTACCAAATAAAAAGGACGGGAACCTTGTGTGTCAGCCAACCGTCTTTGGCTCTGCTGGACAGTGAGGTGGCGTTTTTTAATTTGGGATAGCAACACGTGCCATCACGCCGCTATGAAAGTGTCTCGTAATACGCAGACGGGGGGTGAACTGCAAAATATGAATGGTCGTTTTCATGTGTATTCCTATTAAAATAATACAGTTGATAGTCAGCGCTCGTCCTGTCTGTTTCTTCTTCGTCCACGTATGTTGTTCACGCTGTGTCCCAAGATGAATTCCCATCAACTCGCCCAACTATCCATTCTTCTAAGTGGAATACAGCCCCAGAGGGCCCATCTGCTGAACATCTGGCCAATCTGATCTGGCCCACCTACGGGCACAGCCATGTTGACGTCACATGATCACTATGGCGAACAGGCAAGATGACGGCAACCGGGGGGTTGCCATTTCCGCTGCAGGCCGTGGGTTCCGGTTTACCGCTCTAAGGTGATACTCAAGCTCGTTGGTTTTTGCGTGCCATCTAAAGTGCCTTAAAAGCATTAGTTTACATGCTGTAGGGTGCAATGGAGGCACTATCAAACACCATTTCAGTGGTTCTGGGTTAGGTGCGGTCGCGTGAACCATCAACTCGCAGATTTGAGTCTTAGCTAATGTGCTCGCAATCTGATGAAAGCACATTGCAGCATGGGCACCATGTAACTGAGACTTCAGTTGCACATCATAGATACACAGTCGTCATAAATTAATGCTCAGTCTTTCACTGAATCACTGAGGTCAACCGATTTCCTACTTCTTTCTTAGGACATCAGTAGGCTTCAAAAATTCAATTTCTTGTGTGTTCATGTGTCAAGATCACAATAAAAAAAAAAAAAAAATTAATTTTCAGGTTTTCTGGCAAGACAGTGCAAGCATGGGTGAAGACGATGATGGCATTCGCCACCTACGGAGCCTACGAAAGATGCTCTACATCCAGAAGGATGAAGCTTATGCCCAAATCAAGCAGGAAGTGGCTGACCTGCAGCAGAAGCTCTTGAAACAACTTGACACTGCCTTCGAGATAAAGCTGGTCGAGCTGAAGAAGTTGGAAGAAAAGGTCCAATCTTGTAGCCTTTCTCTGAATCCCCTGCATTTCTTCAGCTCTATAGCGGTCAAGTCGCTACTCAGTCTAGATTGCCTCAAAGTGAGCGACTTCGAGTGCACTTCTTTTGCTTACATCAACGCCTGCGAAGCGAAGCCGGACCAGTTGCACTTCGTTGATGATTACAGTGCTCGTGTTCGCAACACAGGCGACACAGTGAGGGTTTACTACATGTGTAGCTTGGACTACGACCCAGTACTCTTCAAGTTCCTCACCGTCTTCGTGAAGGACGCGGCCAACAACGACATTAGCCTCAAGCACTGCGACCTTGGGAATGGCTGCTACATGCTGGAATTTAGGGCATGCGAAGAAGGTTCCTTCCTTGTTTGTGTCAAGGTATACGGTCAGAACATCAGCGGAAGCCCCGTTGTCATCAGTATTCAAAACGGGGATTCCGTGTTGCTGCCTGAACTCTCTCGGTCCGACATTCAAGGCGACGACTCCGGGTTCCCGTTTGAACTCACTCAGTCTGGCATGGAAGTTACCTTGCCCGAGCTCTCTCAGTCTTGTGGGGAAGTAACCTTGCCCAAACTTTCTCGATCTTGTGTAAAGAGAAGGATGGCCAGGAAAGGGAAGTCGGCACTTGATCACGAGAAGGTGGCGCAAGGTCAGGAGGAAGCTTTCGTTCAGCCGCAACACTTTTATGACACGAAGCTCTCAATAATTCAGCAACCAGAGGCTGAGGAGGAAGTACATACTCACGGTCAGCCAGCACAGATGACAACGGTGAAGCAGGTAACGTTACCTGAAGTACGAGGAGCCTGCAACTCGGAAGTGGCTACAGTAGGGTCACCTGTCGAAAGTACAAACTCTTTCAAACTGACTTCTACGCCTGTACCGTCCTGTAACATGGAGCTCTCTGGTCGGCGTACTCTCTCTTTTTCTAGTGAAGCAACTTTGTCAGTTTCGGACGGAGTTGCACAGGAGAACGTGATCAGGAGCCCCAGAGCGAAATCTTTCACCAAACTTTCAGGTGGGTTTTCGCTTCTAAGGTAATGCACATTAATTAAGACTTGTGAAGTTTGGGCTCTAAGGTGCACATGTGAGTCGGGCGCTTCATTCTGCTACGCGATTTTACACATTGCACTGCTCATTGGTAGCCTTTTTGTAGGTGTTGCTATGCAGCGATGGTGTTGTCTTCATTCTGGACTTGCCTCCTCTAAAGCACATATGCCCCAATCACTTTTCTGTTTCAGAGGTCAGTTTACGAACAAGTAAAGTGATGTAATCCTTAAACAGGTTGCTCATTTACTCTTTACAGTTCTTGAAGTGGGGATTTGGTAGAGGTGCCTTCTGTAGTTAGTTCTTCAATTCGAGGGACCGTTCCTTTGTATGTATAACGACTACTGAAGAGGTGACCTCCTCGAGCATTCTTCTTGCAAATGCTATTAATGTGGAACGGCAGATTATTCTGAATAATGACAGAAAAGTTATGGAGCCAATGTTGTTTATCTGGTAAACTGTAAGTCGTAGGAAGGTTTAGCTCCTTAATTGTTACTTTGTAATCCATTTATTTTTGTAGTGAACCAATAAAATTTGTGTTACTATCCTTGCATAGCTTGTTTTATTTTCCAAGTCTCATCTTTATTTTACATTGCAAAATGACATTTGACAACATTGTCGCCCTACTTTGCTTTTACGCAAAATAAAACGAAGTGGGACAGACATACAGAAAGTGCAAAGTCGTATCATATTCCCGAGGCCTAATTCCTTCTGCTTTGAGCTTTCGCTCCGATACGCATGCACCGACGAGGAGTGCCATATTGTGATGCGTCTTTCACTCGGTTTATGCAGCAGTTCGCGTCGAGCTGAAATGGAGTGAGCAGTCATTTTCCTGTGCACGATAGCCCGGTGAAAGCTAGTCATGTGCTTATTGACTACGAGTCTCTTTTGCAGGCACTGTGAGTGCAGATCTCGTTCTGGAGTTCAAGGCATACAGCAAAAATGACTACCTGAACTTCCCGATTGGTGTCACCGCCACTAGCGGGGGAAACATCATTGTGGGTGACACCGGGAATCACAGAGTCATCGTATTTAATGCCGAAGGAAGACCCCTGTTTAAGGCTGCACTGCGTATGTAAAAGCATGTCCATTTATAAAACTTTTTGTGCTATTGATTGATAAGGTGTAAATTCAAATTTCTCACAAATGAGCCCTCCACTTTCTTTCAAATTCCCACTTTAAACCCCACCACAAGTGGATAGATTTTTGAAAGTTGTTGCTCACTGATTAGATCCTATTTTTTTGTAGTCAATTGTTCTTGAAACAAACAGATCATCCAACAATTTACTTACTTTTGCTGAGTATTGCTTAAGACTGAATCTCTGATGTGCATTATATATATATATATAAAAACATAATATCCCGAGAGATAGCCCATCTAAAATCGAGAGAAAATCTGGTGAAAATAAGGAGTGGGCTAACTTTCTGTTTACAAACAGAAAATATTGGAAAAACACTATTTTTAGACAATGTTTGTTGTTTGTTTTGGTCAAAATTAATATTGCGGCGAGGGACAATGAAACACTACTTCCCAGTCAGCAATGTTTGCTTATGTCCTGCCACAGCTAACTAGCCGAATATACGCCCAGGTCATCATTGATCCTAACACTACTATTATTAGGACGCACTTGGCAAAATGGGGTCAATAACTATTTCTTCTGAAGGAATATCAAAATTAATAGAGCAATTTCCAGTCAGCTCTGCTCCTGGTCGTGACGGGATAAACAGTAAGATTTTAAAAATTACTAAGCACATCTCGTCCCTGTACCTGGGTAAAATTTTCAACCAATCACTTAGTGCTGGTATGCTTCCCAGTGACTGGAGACATGCAGACGTCATTCCAATTTTTAAGTCTGGGTCATCTGACGATCTGAGCTATTACAGGCCTATTTCTTTAACAAGTGTATGTAGTAAGCTCCTTGAACATATTATTTTTACAGCCATAATGCAGTTTCTTGATATCAATAATGTATTATTTTCTAACCAGCATGAATTTCGTAGGAATCGATCACGCACAACAGAGCTTTTCGAGTTGGTAACCGATATCCACAGTAATCTTAACTCACGAAAACAAACAGACGCTCTATAGACTTTTCTAAAGCTTTCGACCGTGTGCCACACTACAGACTTATAGTAAAATTACAAAACTTAAAAATTAATGCAACTGTAGTTAATTGGATAAAAACTTTTCTTACGACTAGAACCCAATCCGTACGTCTAGGAGAAAACATCTTCACAATCCTTACCAGTTATTTCAGGCGTACCACAGGGTACTGTACTGGGCCCATTGCTCTTCCTTATTTATATAAATGATATCGGTTATCGCCTGGGAAGCTGTGTTCGTCTGTTTGCTGACGATCTTGTTGTTTATCACGCTATTTCCAGTGAAGATGATTGCCTAACATTACAAGAAGACCTATCCCTAATTGAAACCTGGTGTGCCGAGTGGCTTATGTCCATTAATCATAATAAATGTAAATGTGTATCTTTTTCTAAATCCCATAATCCAGTAAATTACACCTATCAACTTACATTCCAGCCCATTGAAAAGGTTTCATCTTTTAAATACCTTGGCGTGCACTTAAGCTCTGACCTCTCATGGAGAACTCATATTGAACACATAACTTCCAGTGCTAATAAAACTTTAGGTTTTCTAAGACGCCATCTTAGTCAAGCTTCACCGAAAATCAAACAGCTGTCATACTGCACCCTTGTTAGATCCAAGATGGAATACGCTTCTACCATTTGGAACCCCCATCAGGCTTACCTATCCGACATGTTAGAATCAATCCAAAACCGCGCAACTAGATTCATTCTTGCTGACTACTCACCCACAAGCATCACTGCCCTTAAGGCTTCTTTACCACTACCTCTCCTTAATACTAGACGCACCGTAGATAGATTATCCTTTTTTCATAACCTGTTTTTCAAGCCCTGGACTGACCATGAATTCTTCTCTTCAGGCAGTCATGTCTCCCTATGCCGTGATCATTGCCAGAAGATAGAAATTCCCTTTGCCAGAACCAATATTTTAAAAAAACTCTCCCCTCTTTTTGTGTATACGGGATTGGAATGCGCTACCTGAGTCCATTGTAACAATTGCTGATCATGCCTTGTTTTTATCAGAACTTACTAAGCATATGATTGTATAATGAAGATATTGCACTGTAAAATAACAGATGTTCTTTCAACCTATTTGTCCCTACATTTGATTTCAACCCTTGAAGTGTTATATTGTGTTTTATGTTACCCCCCTTATGTAATGTGCCCCGGGGCCCTTAAGGTATAATAAATGAAATGAAATGAATTAGAAGTGGGCTATCTTTCGGTGTTTTAAAGAAAACAGCAAATCAAGCAAAAATTAGGGGTGGATTATCTTTTGGGGGTGGGGCATCTCACAGGAGATTACGGTATAATATTCATGGCTTTGTCTTGCCACCTATTTAATTTTCTTCCGGCTACTTGTGTGCCAGCTCGTACGTAATGAAATAAGATTGGGGTACAAGCACTTTTAACAATTTTTGAATTAAGGCTAGATCACATATACTTGTAACTGCTTACGACCGTGTGCCTTTAAACTTGTTAAAATCTCTCGCAACAAGAGAGCACACTGGCGCCATCCATCTTGTAGCTGTGGAACACCTGGCAATTCTGTTTCCTATTTTTTTCCTCGCATCATTTTCTCTTCCTTGGCTTGAGAATGTTGTAAAAGACTGTTTTTTATAGATAGCATATACATTTCATTTCGCAAATACTTCAATACCTTCACTCTAGTGAAATGCAGTTCCAGGGCCACCTCATAGATGGTGAAGCCTGCCGGCCTGTTCTCTCATAAAAGATTTTAAGAGATTTTAAGGTCGTAAGTAAATGCAAGTGTGTGAACGGGCCTTTAGAATTACTGTCACTACCCTCCCTGTGTGTTGCCAAGGATGCTGGGTCACCAAAAATTAAGCTAATGGGTCTACCCGTATAAATTGATGGCAGTGTCATTGTGTCTGGGTAGACCTGGTGCTTAGGTGAGATGATCATAAAGTGGAGTGTCTTGATGAAAAAACACAAAAAAACACCTTGGTCGTACTGTCAAATCTCTTAGTATGCAGAATATCTTGGTATGCAGATGCATAACACTCCTGCTGTCTGAACACCGCTAGCAGATTCATGAGGATCAAAGGTTGCCTACCTTAGGGGTCACTTACCCGGGTCATAGTGACTTGACTTGGGGCGAGAGGATGAATGTATGTTTTCTCATTGCATTTTCCCGATATGCTGCGGTCGGGGCGAGCCCAGGAGGAACATATTCTATGTTAAGAAAGGTGAAGGGCCACTGTAATGATCTTAATCTTGATGTATCTGCAAACAGCTATAGCCTTAAAAGTAGTACTGTCATAAGAATATAAAAATGAACAAGGCAGAAAAAAAGACAAGCAAAGTCTTAATCGTGCAGACACCAGTGGATTGACTACTCATCGAAAAGTGTTCATGTCACAAGAAATATCTATTACAGATTGTAGGGGGCTGCCTCAAAATGCTCATGTATCAAAAGACTAACCAGAATAAAGCATTCTACTCGAGGTTTCCAGGCAAAGCTGGAGAGAGAGGAGAGATCAGGGACCTCCTGAAGAATCTTTGTTCTAGTCCGAGTATGGACGCAGTGTCAATTTATTTTTCCTTTCAGCTGGAACCGTACGCTTCAGGCGCCCCTCGGCGGTTGTTGCCCTGGACGACGGCAGCTTTGCAGTGAAGGACGACAGGTGTGTCTACCTGTTCTCCAAAGCGGGAGAGTACATACGGACCTTGGGCAAGGACAGCTTGGTGCGACCCTTTGGTAAGCTAGCTTATGAATAGGGTTCCATCTTTCCGGAGTTCATTTTCCTTCGATTGAGGGGGAGTTTTCACAAGGTTGCTTTCTCCCACAGATATGTGGTTTTACTGTGACAATTTTGGGTGTCGTTAAAAAAAGAATCGACATTTATCGGGGCTTGCGTTGAAAAATACAAGATGGGGTATATGGGATTCCCTAACCCCCAGGCAACACGTGTATGACCGGTATACTTGGAAAATTTCCTAGTACCAATGAAAGAGGAAAATGAGGTAAGGGGTGCAATTCCCAAGTAAAAAAGCAGTCTTGCAGACACTTCGCTAGAGCTGTGTTTCAGGTCAACATAAAATAAGGCAGAAAAAAAGATATCTTTCTGTGAAGCTTGGGTTTTGATTATTCAAAGACTGCTTCAGTTCGGTTTTTTTTGGTTTTTTCCAATTTTTATGCCACCGACTCGGGAGTTATTTTTTTAGGTTTATTAGTACATACCGCAAACACAGAACCCTAGTTATAATTTCCAAGCTGGTTTCTATATATTTACAACGCAAACAATAATTGTGTCTGTTGTGACATCACGCAACAACATATAGATCTTTCGCAAAGTGTGCAGTGCCATCTGCGGCAGCAAAAAGAATGCCGGAAATGCCAGGTACAGCCGGTTGTGGCCGACGACAGAGGCGGCCTTAGAGGCAAGTGCCGGCGTCTGTGCTACTGTGCCCACCCTTTCGCTTTCTTCAATATCATAGTTTAGATGTTGTGAAGGCAAGGACTTTTCACGCGGCCTTTTGGAATTTTTGCACAAGGTCTATTGGTGGTTGCAATTTCATTCAAGCAAAGAGCAGTTCTTGTCGTCACCTTTAGTATGTTTTTTTGTTTGTCCTCACTTTTTACAGCGAAGCTGTTAAGGGCTAGGTTTTCCAGGATCGTGTCCGGTATGTCGACACAAACCTACCTGGACAGCTACCGCCATCTATTAGCAACGGCGGCAAACACACAACCGGTATGAATTCCGCCGTCGCTCGTAGATGGCGGCAAGGGAATTCATCGTAGGAAACTGCGCGCAAAACAGACGACGGCGAAGAAGCACAGATAACGAGGGGCAGTGCTCGTCACGTTTGTTTCTTCGTCCTCGTCTGTTTTGCGCGCTGTTTCCTACGCTCCTACCAGTTTCGGTTTGGACTCGTGATGGGTTGGCCGCGCGCCCTTTCGGAAGGAGTGGCGACGTACGCAGCAGCGCAAATGGGTTCGCAATTGCCGCAAAGCCGCTGTTGCCTCGACTTCCACTGCGTCCAGCGCTTCAGATTCCCTTGCCAAAGAGCACATCGCTCGCCTGGAAAGCTGCCGTCGAGAACAGAACCAGCGATGCAAAGGGCGCTGGCGGGCCAACGCTACGGACGATGATCGTGCCAGGGAGGCGAAGCACAAGCGCGAGGCTCGGCGACGACTGCACTCCGCGCCGGCTGAACAGTTCCCGGGTGCGACAGCAAGGTTCCAGAGGGAGTTCGTGGAGAACCCGTTTGGCATCGCGTGCGCCGTGTGCGATCGACTCTGGTTCGCCGGAGACGTATCCACGGTCAGCGGTGCGTCGAACGAAAAGAAGCGGGAATCAGGCGTGTGCGCGTTGCGGCAGTGTATCCAGTACTGCTCCGCTGGTCTTCCTTCTTCACGAGAGTGGAAAGGCTGAACATTTTTGTTAGGCTTTGATTCTTTTAATACATTCGCTTTAGAATGCTCGTTTTAGCGAAAGCCCGGCGGCATTGTTCGTTTGTCTGCTACAGAGGGAGAAGGAGGGGGGAGTGTGATTCGTACGACGCTCCCTTTGGTCCAAAGCACTACGTTAGGATGCGTCAACCTTTCCCTCTCCTTCTCCCCCTCTCGTAACTGTCAAGCTGAAAGACGCCGCCGAGATTTTGTTAAAACGAGCCCTTTTGTTTTCGTAGAAATCACGCGCACAGCTGGCGCGGAGCCAAAGAAGAGGAAGCGCCGCACAACACCCCCTAGTAACAAAGCCTTAGTGCTGAATGAGATTGCATTATCAGAGATGGCCAATGCTGGACACAGATTGGATACAAGTCCTGTGTCAGTGTTTGGCTTTGAGTCAAGTTTGCTTTGAACTTTGAGCCAAATGTTAACGTAATTGTCGTGTCCAATTTGGGCCCAACGTTGGCCTCCTCTGATGACGCCATCTCATTCGGCACTATGACTTTGTTATCTAGGAGGTGTTGTGCCGCGGCGCAGGGGATTGCGAGTGCAGTGGCGTCACTACATTCAGCGGCACCCCCGGGGCAGTAGCCTGCTGCAACTCTCCTTTCCCGCTTTTGTTGCCTGCTGCTATAGCCCCCCCCCCCTCCCTCTTCCCTGCTCTCGTGGCCCTCTACAACACCCCCTCGGCCCCCCGCACTCTCCTGGGCCTGCCGCTACCCCTCTTTCACTGCCCAACTGAACCCCCGCCCTCTCCCCTAGGAAGCATGTTTTTTTGCGTAAAAACAAATGGAAAAAGCTCTTGTATTGACTTTTATTGGAGATTAGTAGAAAATGACAATGCATGATGTTTTCATATAACTTTAGTTTACAAGGTTTTGCGGCACAATTATTATTGTTTTTCTACATGATTTTAGGTAGCGCGTCCCGACCTGGGTGCGTCCTAACTTTGGTGGTAATTCGCGCCACGTTTGCTTAAGAGACGGGAGTTGGCAGTCCTGAGACCCCTTCCACTGTATACATTTCAGCGCCAAAATGGCCAATCAAAGCCAAAAATTGAAGAGTAACTGCGGATTCTATTGAATGCGATACTCTGTTGGAGCCGTGCAATTCCTGGAGTGGCCGCCGCTGGGGCAAGGGTGGCGTTGCGATCACATTTAGTTTGGTTCTTGAGTACTGATCGGAGTCAGGTTTTTACTGCAGGCTCCTATGACAGTTTTCCAACGGAGTATTCTAGCAACGTTGACTTGAACCATGCTGGCCGTTTGATTGCCGACATTGTCGAGACTTCCAGACAATGTTGGTGATGTCAGGAGCTAAAAGTCGTGAGAGATCATTGCAAAATAGTAGGATGACGGCTATTGTGATAAGACAGAATGAGGGTCTTTTACTATGATGAGGTCACTTGATTATCATGTCTGCCCTTCCGCCGCCTCTTACAAGCGCTCATACGTCGAGCTTCACCCTTTTGCACTGGAGTGCTAGGAGCAGCGGCTGACATGGGTGAGCACCTGGGTTAGTGCAGTAGGCTTGGAAATTGTACTCAGTACTATTCCAGGTCTACCTTCTTTGATATTGACTGTAGGTTGATCTCCAATTCAAAAAAACCTTTGTCGACAAAAAAAAAAGAAAGGCTCGAGGTACTTCTAAGCACTTCTTATGAGTTGCGAATGCGAAAGCACGCACGCTGCTCTTCGCTCCCTTCTTTAATATGCGGCGTACAACGCACTGACCTTGGGCGTGGAACGGTGGAGCCGCTGCCTCGTGGACACGCAGCGCCATCTGGTGAGCGATCGTTCAAACTGTCGAGTGCTTGCGGCGCGAGGAAGGAACAGGCAGCAACGTAGTTCGCAGCAGAATGAACCCCTTGGTTTATTCTATGCGCCGTAAATAGGTATTGCCATGCATCGTACAACCAATAGGAGGCAAGTGAACGCAGTGGTCAGTGATAACACAACAGTGTGATAACACAGTCAGAATGACACCACACAAACTGACACGCAGCGGCCAATGGGATCCTCGTCGACGCGCACCAGCCAATGGGACCGAGGCGCAAAAGGTGCCGTTGGCTAGCTTTGCGCGTGGTTTCATTAAGGTGCTGTTTTGCATTGTTTCAAAGCTGACGACGTCGGCTCGCTCCATGAGACCAGTTAATGCTTTCGCATTAAAAAGACAAAAACGTGGGTCTATACTTGAAAAATTACAGGAAGACACTTAAGACTGCTTACATGTAGGAATGCAAAAGCATTCGTATACGTGGCATATTCCTACAAGCTGCGCGCCCCGCTACCCTTTGCAGTGGCCGGCCGTACAGTCTCTGCAGACGCCGGGCTCTGGGGAGCAGCGGGTCTGCGCTGCTCCTGCGGCGTGCGGGAGCAGTGCCAGGAGTGGCGTTCCTTCAAGCTATCCGGCGCGCGGGTCGCGTCGCAGCCATTTTAAAAGCCGTTCCACGAAGGAAATTTTTCTGCCGTTTTTTTCGCGGTTACGGCACGGAGGGAAGTTCTCTGCCGTTTTTCGTGGTTACGTACAAAGCCGGCTCTGCCCTATGGGACAGCTAGTGCTTTCGCAATAATAATAACGGTAGTCAAGGTAGTTCTCGTGCAGCTGTCTATCGAAAAAGCACCGAGCTTTGACTTCATTCTGGTTCCAATGCAGCTAAAGAGCAGTGTCACTTTTAAAGTACAAGAGTAGGCTTTCATAATATTTGTGGGTGGTTGTTTTTGCAGTTTATAATAGTCCTGAGTTTGGTAGGTTCATAAAACTTGGATGAACATTTTTATCGATGGATGTGTTAGCAGATGTAATGGTTTTTGGTTTTGCTAGCATTTCACAGAAATTATTGTTACAGGCTAAATATATTAGCAGGTGTAAAAGTGGGAGGGGAGAGTTGCTTCATCAAATACTTTACGACGGAGAGTACAGGACACTCCCGGCGAATACAATGGCCTCGGGGACGACAGGTTTTGCGCACTTTGAATGAGTGGATCTGTCATGGCGTTGCGGTTTTCCCCTTTAGGATCGGAGGGTAAGAGCGCCGTCTCTCGGTGCGGGATATTTTACTACCGGTCGAACTTCTTTCAGTGTGTGCACGCTGTTCGGTCGCGGCGGAGTAGGTCGTCTTTTTAATTTAAAAACCAGCGAACACTTCATTCGTGACCCATTTAAAGGGCGCTTATACGTAGGATGAGCTCTATGTCTACGTTCTGTTATTTAAACCATATGCATGTAGCTCGATGAGTGAGTATCGAAATTTGTACGGGCGGTTTTGAAAGCTGCTCTAATAAGTGTGGTTAGTCGTAATCGCA